CATGATAGTAAAACTAATGAATGATAGGAAATTTCCAAGATAATAAAATGCATATCTATCCCTCGTTGTATATATATATATATATATTTTTTTTTTTTTCTGTTTGTAGCTCTGTTCATCTGGAGTTTCAATTAGCTGCTGGGTTTTATTTTTCCCCCACACATCCATCATATCATGTTTAGAGAACTCAAGTTTTCTTGGCAATTTCCAAAACTACAAAATGGCAATAGATTAGCTCACAAGTAGAGAGTATGTGGTGTCCATACTGAGCAAGTGGATGCTTCACCTTCCGCTTTGGGAGCGCTGTGTGCCCTCTGGGGGTTACATCAGGGAGGCTTTAAAAAATGTGATAACGGAACAACAGTACAAATCACCCAGCTCCTTCCAAAAACACATAATTGGGAATTCAGTGTAGTTTTTTTCTTCCCTGAAAATGGAGATATTATTATGGTTTTAAACCATGCTTACCAAAATTGTTTCTGCTAAACAAAGTTTTAAAAGGAAGGTTGGGGAAAATCTGAGCATAATTGAGTTGTCAAATCCAACAATATATGTTCACGTATCTGGGCTCAAAACATGTTGACAGTGGTATTTTGAAATGTTTCTCTAGTTTCCCCAAAACAGAGCAGACAGTAAGAAATGAATACCATGCGTGATGGTTGACACATCAACCTGGAGTCTCAAATCTCTGCATTTGCTAGGGATTTGGGATTCTTTTCAGGAGTCAATTTAAAAAACTCATAATTCAACTGAAAGACAATTTAGGGCTTTCAGGTAGAGAAGCTCTAGTTTACAGCATTTTATTGCTGCTCTCAGTGTTTTTGAAAAGACAATTTTCCCTTCGCAGAACAAGCTTAAAATTAGAAAAATCAAACACCCATTAGAGAAAGCAGATTTACTTTGCTATTAATTGATGTAGAGATGTAAAGCTTCCATCACCCAGGCGGGAGCCTAGCACATCCCCTGCCGACATTTTCAGGGGCCAGTGGGTCAGTGGCAGCCCACTCGGCCTAAACAGGAGCTGTCTGCCTTTAGGAGTGGGGGCTTGAATTTTCAGTGGTAGAAATGCGCTGGGAAGAGGAGAAGCCACATCTGCACACGTATCTTAGGGGGTGTGTGACTCTCTCTTCCCACTTTGTTCTATTTTTAAAAAAGTGAACAACCTTGAAAGTTGACAAATCCACCCTATTCTGGCTTCTCTGTGTGCTGCTGGACAGAAGGGAAAGTGGCATGCCTGTTCAGTAACCAGCAAATGACTCAGAGAGGGAAGGGAGACTCTGCGGCTGCTGTGAATTAAATACGGAGAAGGAGCGTGGAGGACCAACCACAGACTCGTCTTCTTCCAGAGGCTGGAAAGCAACCCAGATGGGGGTGGGGAGGGCCAGCGGTGTAAGAATCTGTTGAAATATGACCGGTGGTTTTAACTTTAAATAAGCTTTCTGGCCTAATAGAAGCCCCCTCTCATGTCTCCTGCAGCTTTGATTTTGGAACACGTCACATTCCTCATTAAAGCAATCACTGTTAAAACATAAAGCAACACAGGATTTATTTCTTCATTAAACTGATGATCCGTATATGAAGCCAATTAACATTATGAGTCTGGTGAACATCAAGTGTAAAGAGGTTAGAGAAAATTAAAAGCAGTCACCTTGGTCTTTAGATAAAGAAAGTACACTTTTAGATTGTAAATTATCAGAGTGTCCAAGCGGGACAGATCGGTGAATTTGGTTAATTGAAAAATACATTTCACCCCGCAAGAATCAAGGAAAAATAGCCTTTTCCTTTCGAACGTCCTTTTTGGTGGGGGAGGGGGAGCCGTAGCGGATGCTCGGTAGTCCCCGTCGGAGCCGAGGGTCAGACACAGTCAGGAGGAAAAAGGGGCTCACGTCATCAAAGTTTGCTGTGGGCTTTCGTTTCTACTCGCTTGGCCGCCGGTGTATTCGCTGTTTTGCCCGCAGAAGGGAACCGGCCGCGTGGCTTCGGGAGAAGGACGTCGGGCGAGGCGGGGCGGAGGGTCCCGGCTGCTGCGAGCCCCGCGCGAGGTTGGTGTTCCCCGGGGCCGGGCTCCTGGTCCCTTCGGGAGACGGCCTGGGGCGCGGCGGGCCCCGGCCACGGGCTGCGGGGCTGCGGGGCTGCGGGGCTGCGGGGCTGCGGGGCTGCGGGGCTGCGGGGCGGGAGCGGCGAGCGGGGCCGCTGAGCGCTGAGCGCGCGTCCCGAGTTGACTTGAGCGGGTTTGCCGGAGTCGGGAGAGGATTGGGGTCAGCGCCCCACAGCCTGGGATCCGACAGGGCGGGCCCCACAGCCGCGCAGCACAGCCCCCAGGGGCCTCCGGGACCGGCCTCCTGTCGCCCGGCGGCCCCGGGGGGCGGGGGGGGGGGGGCGCCGCTGTCCAGGGTTCTGACCGGCCGGGCGGCTCGGGCTGCCCTCCGGCCGCAGACCCAGGAGCAGCCTGGCCAGGCCCCGGGGCATCTCCCGGCCCGGCGGGAATCTGCTCGGGCGCATGCGAGGGATGGATGGAGAGCGGAGACGGGCGCTTGGACTTCGCTGGCTTTGGGGGCGAGTGCGGCGCCGGGCGCCCGACGCCGCGGGTTCCCGCTGCAGGCCCAGGAGCGGCTGGAGCCCCTCGGCCGAGCCCTCCCGACACCTACCGTCCTCCGTTCGCTCGACAGGCGCCCGGCTCTTGGGGCGCACAGGGTGCGCAGACGGGGAGCTGCCGCCCCGGGCAGATGGGAACCCGAGGGGGCTTCTGGCAGGCCCGGGCGTGCAAGCGTAGCCTCGGGCCCTCGGGAATGGCTCCGGAGGGCAGGGGTCCTCGGAGCGACGCACGGAGGGACGCGGCGCGCCAAGCCTCAGCGCCCGGATTGACACAGGGCCCGCTCTTGGGTGCCAGCCCACCCCCACCCCCCGGAGACGCGGAAGCGGCGCTCCCTGCCGCGGGGCCGTCCGCCCGCCCGCGCGCCGCCTACCAGCCCTGCAGGTGTGGTGCCCGCGGCCCGGTGGGCCTCTCTGCGCTCGGACCCGAGCCAGTCCCCAGCGCCTTCTCCCGTGTGGCGTGGCCTCCTCGCGCCGGGGCGGCTGAACCCAGAAGGGGCCGCTGAAGTGCCCTGGGCCCTAACTTGCCTCCGCTGGAGCGGCGCTGAGTTTTCCTCCCAGCAGTTTTCGGAGGGTCTAAGAGTGGCCCAGGTCCCCGCCACTCTCCCTTCCGGTCCACGAGCCTCCCCCGCGGCGGGGATCCACGCGTGGGCCTACCAGGCCTTTTGTGTCCAACACGCTGTGTCTTTAAGATCAAGGCTGGATCCTAGGCCTTGCAGGGAGGGACCCGACCGACCCACCGCCTCGCCGGGGCTCCCGAAAGCAGCATTAGAATGTTTATAAAATATTCAATTTATGCAGTCTGTCCAAGAAGCCATCGTCCCAAAATAAAATCAGCAGTCTAGACGGAACACAGACACCAGAACTTATCAACAGTTGTCTGACTTGCATCTTCTGATGCATCTTGAGTGGGTCATAATACCAACTTTATTTTCAGTGGTGCATAAATTAATTACATGCATTTAATAACCAAAATATCATTATATTCCCCCTTTAATATCATAAAGGCTTTCCGCCAGGGAAGCACTTAATAGTGCAGGGGGCCGTAACGGGCTATTATCCTGGTGTAATGCTATTACAGAACCAATTATGCACCATTAGACTTGCTTTTTTTGCAGTTTATGTGATTTGATCCAATCCCGCGCCCCTGACTTGAAAATTTCAGCCCGGTACTTTAGAGTTTAATTTTCACCCAGGCAGAGGGAAGGGCGGTCTCTCTCCGCTGAGTGTCTGCCTCGGATGCATTTTAAAAGTAATTGCGAAGGGTCCCACCGCATATCATTTGCATCAAGAAGCGAACATAAATTCAGGGACCCCTTGCTGAGAACAAAATCAAACTTTCCTTTTTGTACAGTCGCTTGGAAAGGAAAGCCGTGTGCAAAGAGTCCCCCCAAAAACCCATCCCGCAGCTACAATTAGCAGCGCTTTGTCAATTCGCAGCCCGGGAGTCGCCAGGCCTCTGACAAGGGCGAGCCCAAATCCAAGCTTTCACGGAGAAAGGTTTGAGTCAGAGGAAACTGGGGGTGGGTGTGGGTGGAGTGTTCAGAAAATGCCTTTTGGGGGTGGTGGTGGTAGTGGTGATTGTTTCTATCCTCTTTTAAAAGAAGAAAAACATTTCCGATGTTTGCTGAGAAATGATGGATTTTTTTTTTTTTAACACCACGTGGGCCATTTGTAAGGCCCAATAGACCTATCCAAGTTACTCGCTGTAGACAGCGCTGGAAATAATCAGATTAAGGCCAATTATGCGTGAGATTATAAAGGCGAGTGCTGAGCGGCGGCGCGCGCTGTAGACAGACAGCAAGACATCTGGCCACTTCCCGAGTCACTTTCTGGGCCTGCGGGCGCCAGCCGCGCGGAGCCCCGCCCGCTTCCCGCCGAGCCTGGCGTGCGGACCAGAGGCGGTCACGCTCCAGCCCTACCCCGTCCGCCGCCGCCGAGGTACGCGCGCCTCCCGACCCACTCACCCGGCCCCGCGCGGCCGGCCTTGGGGCTCCGCTGCTCGCCCGGCCCGGGCTGCCGCTCGCGCAGATGGCCCGGAGCGCTCGCTGGTCCTGGCTGCGGTGGCCGGGGGGCAGGGCTTGCGGCGGGGACCCCAGAGAGCCGGTGGCCGGATTGCCGGGGTTTGGTGTTGGGGCCCGCGAGGTGGACCCGAACCGAAGGGCTGTCCCACAGGGGACCGGGCTTGAGGTGGGAGATGGCGCTGCCATGTCCCCTCCAGTCCCCACAGTGGGCTAAGGGAGGGGGGGTGGCTTCCAGGAGGAGGGCCCAGTGCGCACCAGGACCAGTCCAGCGCGTGCAGAGGGAGACTTAGCCTTATCGTTGTTTGCTTTGCAGCCAGGCCGGAGCTTCGCGCGCGGTGTTTGTCCAGCGGTCACCCTCCCGGTGACCCTTCCCAGGCCCCGCCGTCCAGCTGATCCGGCCGTCGGCGATGTTTTATTTCCACTGTCCGCCGCAGCTAGACGGTGAGTAAGCGCGGTGCCTGGGGCCGCTCGGAACGCACTCGCTGGCCAGAAAGCTCCCGGGCGGCAGCGTGGCCGGTGCGTGGTGGGGTTCCCGCTCCGCGTGGGTTGCAACCGCCGGGCGGTGGGTACGGGAGCCCCCGGCCTCCCCCCTGCATCCCGCTCCAGCCGTCCGCCTTCTCCCCACCTGCCTCCCACCTCCCTCGCGGCCTGGGCGGGTTGGCCCCGGGGCTATTCGCACAGCAGGGACCTGCCGGTCCTCCCAGCACAGATGCTGGTGTCACGCCTCTAATGGGGTCTCCTCCGCCCTGGGGGCCGCATCAATCTTTCACGGTGTTTTGCAAACATCCCGAAAAGCCAAGGTGGACTGGGGAGTTGGCCCTCATCACCCTGATCCCAACCGTGACCATGAAGGACCCTTGGCTAGGCTGCTCTCATTTGGAGCACAGGGCAGTCCTGCTCAGGGAAGCTTTAAGGTCTGTTGCCGGCCACGATGGCTGTCTGGAACTAGGTGACCCTACCTACCACCACCCCAGGTGCCCTGGCATGGTTTCTTCCCTGTGTCTCACTGGGGTTCTTGACCTCAGATGCCAACCACTCCCTACTCCCTGGGGCAGCCATGGCCAGAGTTTGAGACTTTGAGGGCCTTAGAAGAAATTTTGCCTCAGGATCCCTCATGTGGTTTGGATTGTGCACTAGATTGTTAGGTGGGAGTAAGTTTGTTTGAAGGGGACAGCTTGGCTTTCTGGTGCCCACACACAGGGCCTGGGGGACCCCCTGGGTGGACATCAAACAAATGCAAAGCCACACATTCTGAACTTTTAACAGCATCTTCCTCAGAGCAGGAGTCTTAATCTTGCGATATCGAGAACTTTAATAACTGGGAGCTATACCAGGACTTGGCTTTGACAACCTACCTACTCCTTTGATTTATTTGTGGGATGGGAGAGTTTTGGAGGCCAGGAAATGGACGGAGGCATGGGGGAGAGGCATAGGGGGAGGGCAAAGGTGGTGAGGCACCTTGGGATCGGAGACATCAGAACAAGCTCATCCACCTTGTCTCCAGTTACCTGGAGCAGTAGCTAAGCCTTAGCTGGCTGGCAAGCACAGGGATTTCAGGCAGTTTGTTTTTGGCTTAACCATGGAAGCTTTTAAGAATTCAGTAGAATTTTCTAAAGGAGCTAAGGATCAATGCTTAAACCCTGCTAGCTCCATCAACATTCCTAAAAAGGGAAGACCAGATACTTGCCTGCATTTCACCTCCTTTAATCTCCAAGGATTTGTGCTGCCCTGTTTTATGAGGAGGTTGAAAGGCACAGCCCCTGACACTGTACACCAGGCCTGGAGGGAGATCTTTTGCATGTGTGGAGGACATGCCTTCTCTGCTTTCTGAACCTGGGGTTTGGACTGATTGGTATGACATGGCCCACTCTTGAGGTTAAAGAGTGGAAGGTCAAGATTTGGGTATTTAACAGGTGGTGGGCTGCTTGGGTAACTTAGAGGAAAGCTCTGTCTGCAGAATGGGTTGCAGAAGTCACTTAGGACGAGTCCTGGCCTGGCCTATCATGGTCCTGGGGCACTAAGCCGTTGGCCACTCACCTTTCCTTCCCACACCCTAGGCACATCCCACATTCATGCTGATTTTGAGTGCTATGACTAGAAGAAAAGGAGATGTGTCTTATGCACCTTTTTATTCCTTTGCAGATGTGTTTCTGAGCCAGTTTTGCAGAAAGGGTGTTTTATGTTAGTGTAGTATTGCGGGGGAATAGGTGATCTGCTGCATGTGGGAAGGCTGAAAACAGACTTTTGGAATATAACATCTCTTTCAGCCTATGAGTTTTTTAATTTTTCATTTTTATTAATCTAGAGAGGCATAAAGAAGAAAGCAAAGCATGGCTCATCATCTGATTTCTCAGATAATTTTAGTAATATTGAACTAAAAAGTACTGCGTATAACTGCTTAGGAAATTCAAATAGAAACCTACACATTGAAAAGTGAAATCCTCCTTCTTCACCACCTCTTTTGTTGGTGTCTTGTGATTCCCTCAAGAAAAACACTTTTTTTTTCCTATATGTTATGCCTCATTTATGCTGAGATCATACTGCCACATCCCTTGGGATTTTTTTTTTAACTTTGCAACATATATTTTGAGGATTATTCCATGTCAATATATACAGATCTATGGATTTATTTTAAACAGCTGTGTAATATTCCATTATACGTCGTACTGATGGGGACTTTGGCTGTTTCCAGTTGTTTGTTGTTGTTTTTTTTTGCAACAACATTGGTCATGTTGCCAGGAATGTTATTCTTTTTCTCGTTTGGCACACTTTAATGTATCCCTGGATTAGATATGTGTATCTGTACTGAAATTTTTGATGAATATTGTCAAATTACCCCCTAACCCCCTAATAAGGCTACACCAATTAATGCTCCTACAAATGGTTAATGAACATGCACATTTTATTACACTCTTAACTGTACTGGTATCATTATACACTTTTTTTTTGGTCAAAATGGTGAAAATAGTAGTTTATGGTTCTGTTTTGTTTAATTACTGGCAGGGTGTAACATTTTCATATTATCAACATTTCTACTTCCTTTTAAGTAAAAAGCCTCCTCACATTTTCCTCTTTTCTTATTAATTTGATGGTCCACTCAGTCTTTTTTAGGGTTCAATTTGACACACAATGTTTCACTTGCAGAAATTACGTGCATACGTTGTGGAGCAATTGCAGGCCAGCAAGTATAAGTTAGAAGGCTGAGGCAGATCATGTTTGGAGCATCTCAGAGTCTGCATTCCATCATCACCAATCAAAGGGAGATGATTTGATTTCCTGCAAAATAATGTAAATAAGACTGCTTTGAGGCTGTGCCTTTGAAGTTTCCAATGAGCTGGAGAGAAATCTTTGTAACTAGGGTTTTGAGGAAGAGTGCAATTTGGACAAGATGACGGAAGGGAAGGCTTCAGGAGAGACTGGTATCGTGGCAAAGGATGTAGCACTGGAGAGCAGAATAATAAGTAGGAGGGACCCCCGTTAGTAGACTGAATTTTAAAAAGTCCAGAGGATCTTGCTTCTTTGGGACTGAGGTCTTTCTGAGGGAGATTGCCTGTGTGGCTTACTGGCTTCTAATGCCAAACATGCAGTGCTTCTGAGACCAGAGCCCACAGCAGGTACAGCATTCACTGGCAATTGGGCACTCACTCGTTTGTTTTTCTAAGAAGCCATTGTAGACTGTTGAGTAAATGGTGCATATTTGGAAAAAAATCTGGATGCACATTTGGGGCAAAACTCTGTTCTGGCTTTTATATGAGTTTTGGGGGCTGCTGAGGAGGACAGTGGAAAGAACACCTTTCTTTTTAGGGATGGGAGAGCAATGGGCCCTTTATGATCCTGGCCAGAGGGTGGGGTGCTCTTTGAGAGTGGCTCTGCTTAAGTCTGCTTGGAATTCAGGACGCTAGCTATTAGTGCAGACGTCTTATTAATTGACATCTATATAACAGATCCACTATGGTGCTGATGAGCTGTGACCAACAGTAATTAATATTCATTTATAAACTTCTTACCTCGTTGTGTCCTAAAGTTCTAGGAGAAATGTGCAGTGAAAGCTCTTAATGTTTTCTCTCCTCTCCCACCCCCAGCAGCCTTGTTGTTTATAAGAAACAAGGGAAAGTAAACTAACAGGTGAGCACATGGGAAGTGTGGAGGCTTCCATGAAAGAATCTGAGGTAGGGGATGAGATCAAAGCACATTGGATGCAAGTACAGCTGGAAACCAAAGGGCAGTGAGGCTGTGAGGGCAGGTGAAGGCTCTGCCTCAAGCCAGTGATGCTTCCCAGCCTAGAGTCCAAAATTTCACAAGAAGCCGATTTGACCTTCTTGGGGGAGGAAGGTCTTCACCTGCCCTATGAAATAAACAGAGTTGATGGGGCAGCCTGGGTGGCTCAGCGGTTTAGTGCCACCTTCAGCCCAGGTCGTGGTCCTGGAGACCCGGGATCGAGTCCCATGTTGGGCTCCTTGCATGGAGCCTGCTTCTCCCTCTGCCTGTGTCTCTAGCTCTCTCTCTCTCTCTCTCTGTGTCTCTCATGAATAAATAAATGAAATTTTAAAAAAATAAAATAAACAGGAGTTGGGCCTAAAATCAAAGGTTTTTGTGTGAGAGAGAGCATGAGAAAGTGGAAAAGAAGGGACCCCTATGAGATCAGCAGAGAAAGATGCCATTGGAGAGACAGGACTCTACCTGGAGTTATCTCCAAACAAGCACATTTATCTGGAGTCGCTGTGAAGACAGGGAGGCCCTCTGCTCAGGCTGACTCAGTTTGCTCCCAGTAGGTACTGCACCCTTTGGCAATCACTCTCCAGGAGATTTCGACGATGGCTTTCTGCGCAGGAAGCAGCGCCGGAACCGGACAACATTTACTCTACAGCAGGTAAGGATGGCCCTCCCTTTCTGAGAGTTAGCTACTTCCTGCCTCCCAAAATATCAGAGTTGGAGCAGCTCTTGTTTGTCTTTTAAAATAAAACCAACTATGGAAACTGGATCTTTCTGTTTTCTTGAACACTTTATGTGTCAAGAAATCCATTTGAGGAGAGGGCAGATAGACCTTATGATCCCAGCTAGGAAGTGAAACGGCGATAGTGATCACTTGCATTTGCCTTAGGTTGGTAGTTGGGGAAACACTTCCACATCAGAAATGTCATTTGAACCTTGAGAAATGCAGGTAGATAGATAGATGGGAAGACTGGGGCCCAAAAAACTGACTGATTTTTGGAAGGTATCGCTGTCCATAAATGGAAGGGCTACAAGTGAGACTCTCATACTCTGTTTTCTGGACCGGGGCTCTCTCCCTTAGATCTGTGCAAACTGGAGCTGTCAGGAAGGTGGCCTGAACACCTCTAGGTAGTTTCTGTGGGACTGACATAGTGAGGGCGTCTGCAAGTTGTTTCTGTTCCCCCTCTGTTCTATGGGGAAAGCTGTGTGGATTGCTCTGATTCCTCAGGCCACCCTCAGAATCTTTGATACCTAAGAATATATTTACATGTGAAAGCATCTACATATCTGTGCTTCTCATTTTATTTCTTGGGTGAGCATGATACCTCATTATTAAGTCTTAGCCTCTAAGATATCCATGGTTAAAATCTGAATTCTGTGGCATCTTTTTGAAGAGCTCTCTTCTCCCTCTTCCTCCTCTATTTGATCTGTGAAACTACTTCCTCACCCACTCCTAGCAAATGTGAAATATGCATATGCTCCCTCTCACCTTGCCACAGCCTCTCACCAGTAAATATTTTTCTTCCTTTCACTAGCTGGAAGCTCTTGAGGCAGTTTTTGCTCAAACACACTACCCCGATGTCTTCACCAGAGAAGAGCTAGCCATGAAAATAAACCTCACAGAAGCCAGAGTGCAGGTAAACCTTCTTTTTAATTATTTAACTCTCTCATATTAAAACTGGCAAACTTTTTTTTTGACATCATGACGGCAGAGTGCACATTTGGCCAAAGAAAGCAAATGAAGACTATCTGTCATTTTCATGGTGCACTTTAATAACATCAACATAATGTGGAATATTAGATTAGGTTGATTAATCGGTCATTCATAATTAACTAGTGATAATGTTCTACACTAATTTGTCCGCGTCTCTAAGGTACTAAATTACATCAATGCACATCCATTTCCTTGCTTTGGAAAAAAAAAAAAAAGCTGAGATGCTATTCTCAAAGCAGCTCTGACTGCTCTGGGGTAAGGCTGGTCAATTGTAGAGAACTGTGTTTTCAGATGGGAACAGGGTAGGATCTGCTTTCCAGAAATTGCATCATGTCCAACTTTTCCCCTGTCCGCGGACCCTTTCAGTGAAGTGGATCCAAAGAACATGTGCAATTTAAAAATCTTTAAAGGGCAGCAGTGAGGGGGCTGCCTCCAAGCTGGCCCTCGGTGACTGTCTCTAAGCAGGATTTCTTTTTAGAAGCCACACAGTGATTACGTATAAGTACACAAACCCGTGGAACCCAGCAGATGTGCCCGAGCGCGGGAGGAACCGATTCGCAGAGGCGCCTCTCCGGGAGAGCTATTCTTTGAGCACAATTATATATTCATTTTATTTATGGGGTTTCCTCCATGCTGTTTCTGTTCTTTTTTATGTAGGGGCTTGGGGTTAAGACTATGCAAAGATCTAATTGTAGGAAATATAATAGTTTGCTTTTGGTTCCCCTGGGTCATGTTAGTATCTCTTAAAAACCAATGGCTGAAGAGAGATAATGGAATTCTGGGCAGTAAATTGGGGGTTGTAAACAAATTATTTCCCCTATAATCAGATTATGTGATCCTGATTATTAAATCTGAACATGAATCATTGGTCATATGCAGGCAAATTAAACTGATTATTATTTGGAAATGAAAATCTCCTTTGGCCAGGATGCTGTCTATCCCTTCTTTTTTTAATGCCAGCTTGCCAATAGCTGCCTAAAGACTGAACTGCAAATTGAGATAAATGACACAATTATTGAGCATTCAGAAGTGGAAGATCATAACTTCTCCCTGAAAGGTGCAAGGGTGAGATAGGGGTGGTAACAATTAAGGCTGAGAACTGTTGTTCAGGCTGTTGTCAGCTATTATGCAAACAGACAATGGCTGTGAAGCATTTGTTTAGTGAGCCTCCATGTGGGGACTTGGGCTTCGGTGGTGGCGGGAAGGGAGATGTGTTTACATTTATATCTCTTGCTCATTCAAATATGATTAATGTTCTATAAAGCAGGGTCTTAATCGAAGCTGATGTTGTCAAACAATAACTAAATAGGGAAATAAACGACTCCATCATGCTCTTTCTTCAGAAGCAGGCGAACTGTCAGTGCAAAGTCATTAAAATATGATAATGAAAAATAGCTCAATTAAATGTTGTTATAGCTGTGACCTTCATTCAATTAAGACACAAGAAAGTGTCTGCATTTTGCTTTGCATTTAACTGCCCTAAATTTAGAATATAGATAAAATCATTATTCAATGGTTGCTGATATGTGCAATTAAAAGCCAACTCGATTAAAAAAAGAAAGAAACTGAGTTAAAGGAGAATGAAAATTCAGAAGTGGGGTGGGCTGGCGGAGGGCTCAGCCCTGGGACCCGGGCTCTCTCCTGGGCCAGCGTGAGAAGGGAGGAGGAAAGGATGCCCGGGGGAGTGGGAGGGAGGTCTAGCCAAGCCTTTTTTGAAAGCCAGGAATTATCTCCCAGGAGATGAGGGAAGAGGTTCTGCTGGATAAAGAGCTGCAGGATTGCACTGACCTCTGGGAACATCTTGGGCCCCGCCTGCTCCCTGCTCGGCTGCCGTGAGGCGGTCCTTCTGCATGCAGATATTGTTGGGATTGCCAAGGCTTGGAGAATTCCACACCAGCCTCTAAGAAGGCACTTAGAGCAGGTGAATCACAAGTGTCTTCCTAACCTGATGATGGCAGAGATAAGGGTACTTAATGTTTCCCGGGTGACTGCTGTATGTTGGGCACAGTGCTCAGCATTTTCCGTGCATCTCTGTGCTAACAATGTTCAGGGGTGGCCACCGTTATTACTTCCATGGAGTTCGGATCTGGTCCTTAGCCCATCCACTGGTCTTCAAATGTGGGTCTGTCACTTACCTACCACCTGCCTGACCTTGGGCCGGTTAATTAGCTTGTCTGCTTAGTTTTCTCATCTGTAAAATGGGGCTAGGTCTACCTGCCTTAGAGGGTTGGGGTGGATTCTAAACCAGATTCACACTAAACCAGGGCTGATTCCAGAGTCATTATTTCTCATGGGTGCACTGGGCTGCCAGTCACAAACTTCATGATGTGTCAGAAATGATTTCGGGGTTAAATCACAGGTCTTAGGCCAGACACATTTGAGTGCTCAGGAGGACCTGCTGGAAGAGTGAATGAATATTTTTGGTGAGGAAACCCCAGGGCAGTGTTTTGCAGACTGCTTTCATGATGATTCCTCCTCCTGCCTCCCCCCAACCATAGGAGACACATTTCACATTAAATAAGGGCACTTGAATACATGGAGCATTTCCACAAGATAACACTTGTGCCCTTACTGTGGGCAGTGCATTTGGATACTTTCTATGATTTAACCGTCATTAAAAATTCCTGTCATGCCTTCTACCCATATTTGGGTCTGAAGCTGTAGTTCAGAGGGCACTGCTTTGGGAGCTCTTTCGGAGAGAGGAGCAACTGCTGCAATGTACGGAACCCAGGCATTTGGGTTTGGGTACTGGTTCCCTCCTGTCTGATTTTCTGCCTTCATTGGATGTGCTTCTCCCCTGGGGACTCAGGTTTGGTTCCAGAACCGACGGGCCAAATGGAGGAAAACAGAGAGAGGGGCTTCTGACCAAGAGCCAGGAGCCAAGGAGCCCATGGCAGAGGTGACGCCACCACCTGTGAGAAACATCAATTCCCCGCCCCCGGGGGACCAGGCCCGGAGCAAGAAGGAGGCCCTGGAAGCCCAGCAGAGGTGAGGTGGTGGGATCCTGGGGTCTGGAGGCATGGTGGGCACACAGGGCTGGGACTCAATGTGATTTTCTTTTCTCTAGCAGCCTGGGGAGAACTGTGGGTCCGACGGGACCTTTCTTTCCTTCTTGCTTGCCAGGGACCCTCCTGAATACAGCCACATATGCCCAGGCCCTGTCACATGTTGCTTCCCTGAAAGGTAAGATTTGTGTCCTTTGGCTGGCAGGGTGAGGCTGGGGTTATGCTGGCTTGGCATTGTTTCCACGGGGTCGTGGAGGTTGGCTGGCCACTCTGTTTTCCCAGTCCCACCCATCAGCCTTACACCTTGGGCTGGTGCAGCACCGTCTCTCCTTCTGTCCGTCACAGCCAGGTTCATGAACAGCATCTGTTCCCCCACATGCTATCTTGTTTGATTTCTACATGGCCTGAGATGATAGGCGTTACTGCATCAGATGGGGGATTGTCTGAGAGGCAGTTGTTTCACAGGGGACCACAGGTTGCTTTTTCTCATTGGTGACAGTCTTGGGTGTTAACCTGAAGCTCCTGGCTGAGCCTTGATGGTGATTGTCCCAGGTCCCTCTCTGTGTGTGCAGCGTGCCCACCCGCCTCCCTGGGGACTGCTGATGTCAGGGGTCTGAACCATTAGGACTGGTGATTTTCCAGGATTGGCTCTCTTCTTAATAACAGCTCTTATTATCTGATGTTTTGTCAGGCCCAGATAGAGGAACTCCCTGGGGACTTCTGGGGCATCCCCACTGGATGAACATGCCCATCCACTGTCTCTCAATTCCTGGCCTCAGACATACTCCTCCTCCTGTGATGAGGCCAGGCAGCTGTGCCGGCCCAGAGTGGGGCTGGGTGTCACGGTGGGTCTGGGGCAGTGACGGTTAGTGCTATTCTTGGGGCTTCTCTGTCACAAGAGGTCAGGGAGGGGGAGGTACGGGTGTAGGCTGTAGACTTTCTCCTGATGATAGACAATGGGAGAGTCCCCTCCTAGAGACTGCCCTGTTTGTTCTGCATTAAGATCTGGGGTCTCCTGCCCTTGAGGGGACCCTCTCCAGCTGGTAAGTCAGACACACACACACAAACACACACACACAGAGTGGCAATCTGCAGTGCAAATGTGGTTTCTGGAGGCTGAATGAGGATATGAAAGAACTTCCCTGGGTAGTCTCCAGAAGAGAGAGAAAGGCATTTTAGGCATGGGGAACAGCTTGTGCAGAGTGCCAGGAGAGGGGAGGTTTGAGAATGGTTGGTATGGTGGGTGCCCATGGGAGAGTGCGCAGAGATAATGTGGAGGTGCCTGGCAGGGCCAAAGCTTGAAGGCCCTGAAAGCCATGCTCCTGGGTTTGGATTTTCTACTGTAGGGGGTGGGGCTGGAGGCCCAGAGCCACTTCTGAGTAGTCCAGGTTACTGGGCAAATCCCCTCACTTAGATAGCTGGCATGCGTGGATGAGGCTCACCTCTGTCCAGCTCTAGGCCCCGTGCCCTTCCTAATGCTTCCTTCCACTCCAGGGCCCCGGGGGCTCCAGAGGCCATGGAGAGCCCCCCACAGAGGGGCCTTGGAACAGGATACAGTAGGCTGATAGGGCACTACAGAGGTGCAGTCCCAATTGGAAGGGGCTTCTGGAAGGAGATTACCAGTGGAACTTGGGTATCATTTAAGGAGCTGGTCTGGGCAGAGGAGCAGTCCCATGTCTGTCTGCCAAATCCTCTCTGCTTTGGTGGGGGCCGGCTCAGCTCTCGAGAGTAACCATCTCTTTTATAAATGTTCTTTGCTTGCCTCACTCTAGCCTCATGTGTTATAGGTGATTGCTGTGTCTCAACTATGGCAACCATGGCTGGGCTCCCTGGTGAGCCAAGGTGGGGCCCTGGCAGAGGCCTGTGGTAGCTCAGGGAAGGGAGAGAGGGCCAAGCTGCTGAGCAGGGAGAGCAGGACAGTGTCTGCCACTGGGAGGCCCAGGGCAGTGGTGAAAGGGAGATGGAGCTAAGGCTTCTGTCATCTGAGTTAGGACCCAAGGCAGAGGCAGGGGCTAGTGGGAGGGACTGGTAAAGGTAAATCTCTCACCTCCTTCTTCCTTTACTGGTATGTACCCCTCTCCAGCCCTTCCCTAAACTTTTCAGGCTGGGCTCTGACCTTGGGGCCCATTTTGTGTCTGCCTCATTAGAAACAGACTTTCCAGGGCTCCTGGGTGGCTTAGCAGTTGAGTGTCTGCCTTCAGCTCAGGGTGTGATCCTGGGGTCCTGGGATCACATTGGGCTCCATGTATGGAGCCTGCTTCTCCCTCTGCCTACGTCTCTGCCTCTCTCTCTGTGTCTGTCATGAATAAATAAATAAAATCTTAAAAAAAAAAAAGAAACAGAACTTTCCTTTGATGCTGCCCTTGTTAAGGGGGTTACTGGGGGTGGAGCTTGGGATGTGCAAGTGCTGGCACAGGTGACAGAAGTCACAGTGTGTTCACCACACCAAGGAACATCTTTGTGTGTCATGGTGGCATGTGTTTGGGCAGCCTGTGCATCCCCATGGGAAGTCCCTCCTGACTGCGGCCGTGTGCTGGGGCAGGTGACATGCTCTGGTGACAGGGAGTCAGTGAGCGAGGTGAGTATGTGTAGGCATTGTCTTCACCAGACATCAATGAACTCTTGCCCACTTTCCTTGAGGTATATAGCCCTTGTGTCTTTATGTCATTTTCATAGTTTTTTTTTAAAGATTTTATTTTATTCATGAGAGACACACAGAGAGAGGCAGAGACACAGGCAGAGGGAGAAGCAGGCTTCCCGCAGGGAGCCTGATGCAGGATCATGACCTGAGCCAAAGGTAGACGCTCAACCCCTGAGCCACCCAGGTGTCCCAACATTTTCATAGTTTTGTGAAAGGCATGGGGAGAAGAGACATTTCTCCACTGCCAGAGACAGGTATTTGAGGAGCATGTTAAGGGGCATTTTCAAATTTGGGCTGGGCATAGGCGGGACTGGGGGTGGGATTGGGGAGTGTTTGCCCACTCAGGGGTCAGTGGCTGCTCAGGCCAGCTCATTGTGGCCAAGTGGATATGCGGACATGACATTGCCAGAACTATTGAAATTCCTGGAGAAGTTGGAAATCATTCAAATTTTTATTTGAGCTATTCCTATCTTTTACATGTGATCTCCAAGGCACATCATTGGTCAGAGCCATCCATGGCCTGCCATTTTGCTCCGAGATAACAGCTAGTATTGGATTGGGGCTCTTTGCTCTCTAAAAGTGCCCATCCCCATGTGGTGGCATGTCTGAGAGTGAGGTGTTCTGAGCTAGAAGTCTCTGAATCAACTGGTCAGAGCTTCCTGGCTCTAGTCTAGGTGGCCTCAGCCTTCCCTGGAGGTGTGCTTGGGGCACCCGGCCTTGGCCTCAGGACCTGGGTAACAAGTATGTACCCACAAGTCGGCTTCTAGATACTGCGGGGTTCGACCTCTGCTTGCTTTGTGGAACGTTTGTGAAGTGGTTTGGAGAGAGGACAGCTTTTGACTTCTTGCCCAATTTCCAATAGCCTGACTCAGGGCTAGGACTTCTGGGCTTTGACCAAGCCTCTTTTACCTTAGTGCACCCCCACAGGGGACTGGGCAAGCAATGTTGGCAGAGCTAGTGGCCTGAGCTACGCTTCCCAGAGGGTACTTGCCAACCTGGGGACTGCCTCACCTAAGTGGGAGGAGCTTCTTGCCTGTTGGTGCTAGAAGGCACCTGTCTGGACTTCTCAGCCCATGCCTCTTGTCACAAGTGAGAAACTGAGGCTCAGAGAGGGGAAGTCACTGGCTCACACATGGCTTCTTCAGCTACATCTCCCATTTGGGGTCTGGGCTGCCCTCCACAGGATCCTGATGTGCCCTTTCCTCTAGACACCACATATTCATTCATTCCTCTAGATGGTCACGTGTCGGTAGGACCTTAGACCCCTACTCTCCTTTTCCCTAGCAAGCGAATCCACTGGGTGTGAGCCTGGGGAGGGGTCTAGACAAACCCAAGACTGTCTGAGACCAGGACCATTGTGAGCTGAGCACCACGGCCCCTTCCAGCCCAGAGATCCCAACCCACTTCTCCAGGCCTGTGGCAAATTGCAAATAATCCAGAAGAAAGAAATCAAATTCAGTGTCGGCTCCCAGACTCGAGCAGTGCTCGTGTCTCCTTCTCCAGGCCCTGGGGTCCTAGTGGGAACATATGGCCCTGGGCTGAAGACAGTAAGTATCTCTGGTAGGCCACCGAGGTTCTGGCCCAACTCTAGACAGCACCAGGGTGCCCCTCCCCTGAGACTCCAGCCATGCAGCTCCAGACCAGGGCCTGAGGATCTAAGCCAATGCTGCCCTATGCTGCAGCCAACAGCTGGCCAGCGCGAGAAGGAAGGGCAGGACCAGTTCCCCCAGGGGGCACACAGAGCACCTCCCCTACTAGTCCCAGAGCTGACTGCCCTGAGAGCATTATATATAGTTGCAAGGTGAAGGACTCTGAGTTGGGGGTCCTCATCTTTTGGTTTCAGGCACTGTTATGACAGATGTGAAGTCCTTGCCTGGGAAATGTTAAGAGAGCCTCCAGGGGTGTTTGTGGGAGAGCTTGGGGGATGTGGAGGTACAGTTTGCTTAGTTCCTTGAGGGCTGTATGTCCTTGAATGTAGTGTTATGGCTATTCACTTGCCTGGAAATTTTTTGACTTTGAATGTGTTCTGAAACCAGGAGCGCTGTTGGAATACTGGCTGTCAGCTCCTTGAGCAGGCTACACAGGGGGAAGGGACAGGGCAAGCAGGGACATGAGATGTAGAGGGCATGGGATCTGGGAGCCCCCACAACACTGGGCTCCCACAATACAGAGCTGTGAGTGAGGTGGATGGGTGGAGCCCTAGAAGCTCTGTGGCTGTGGCCCAGAGCATGCCAGCAGATGTAGACTCCACTTCTTTTATCTTAGGATTATGGTGGGGAAGCAGCCCAGGAAATATGAAGGAGAACAGGTTTGCTGAGCTCTGGCACACAGACTGAGAAGTCAGTAGCACACTCTAGAATATGGTTTTCTTAGGAAATTAGAGGGAATAATTTTCATTCCTTGGGGAAATGTGGAAAGCTGGGGTCTGGGGTTTGGAAGCAGCTAGAGAGTTGGGAAAACCAAGACCAGACAATATTTGTCCAGTGTTTGGACAATCCACACAGCTCGGAACTGCCTGGGCCGTGAAGCTCGGCTCG